TTACTCCTTGATTAAAGTGCACACAGTCAATATAAACTCTGTTACAAAGAGGGGTTCTGCCACTCAATCCCATCCTCAGACAAATGTTCTTGCTCTTGGCAGGAAAATTGCTTGGCCCAAAATGGTGGGCAACAAATCAGACTCCCATGAGTCATCTTTCAGTAGCATTTTGCATGTAATGAGTTAGTGCTGCCTGCTTAGCTCAGAGGTGGTCGCAGAGGAAAAAGTGGGGGTTAATCCCTTTGCCAGTGACAGAGTATGTAATATATAAGCAACCATGCAGTTTACCTTTCGCTAAGAAAATTATTTGTTTAAGCTTTCAAGGAAAGCAGGCAAGAAAAAACAGAACAGGAGGAAGAGTCTAAGAATTAATGATAGGCATTAGGTAATATTCAAACAGCAGATGAGATCTGTACAAGTGTGGTTACATCCCAGCAGTGGACAGGAAGCTCTGCTTAGTTTCTTTTCCTGAGTAGTGCTGAATCGAATCATATCATCAAATCGAAGTCAAATTAGCTGGCATATTTCACTTATCTGCTTAAAGCTGCATCAACCTTTACCCTTGCCATAGTGGAGTGTCGGCAGCACAGCGGTAGCTGCTGGAAGCTGAAGTTTTACTGCAGTTGCCACCGGAATATTGCTAATACAGAACAAAGCCATTTCCTTGAAAAGTAAGGTTGAGATTAATGTTTCAGGCTGGAGGATTAAGGAAGCTTTACTTGTAATAGTGAGAGAGATCCCTGGAGGGAAGCTGACAGAGAAGAGAAAACCAGAAAATTAGAGTGCCTTAAGAAAAATAATGATAATCAATAAAACAAAATAAAATAAAACCTAACAAAACACAACCAACCAAACAGAAAACCCCAGCCAAACCAAGAAAACCTATTCAAGGCTATCATCACACTCTCTCAGTGTGGCCGCACCCTGCTGCACTTTCCTGAAAGGACCTTGCTTTTTGGTCCTGACAATAGAGTCAAGTTTCCTGCTCGGATGCACAGACCTGCAAGGATCAACAAGAACTGCCGACTCTGTGGTCTGCAGAAACAGGAAAAGAGAGGGAGAAAAACAAACAGCTTCTGAGTTAACACAAGAGCTGTCAACACCAGGCAGCCTTGGGAAGATGAGAAGATAAACTCCAATGATGAAACAGTACCAGAGATTTGTTTAAGATCTTACAGGGAGGTACAGAAACAGCTTGAAAATGATTCAGCACAAATAACTGAGTTCAGAGAAAAAACAGCTAGTTTCCTTTTTCTCCCACTCTTGATTTCATTTCTTCAGATTTTGATTTCCTTTCAACAAGCCTGCCCGCTAGTGTTATGTGTACTGAGAATATGTCACATGTTGGCTTTCAATGACATGTTCCTGGTAAAACCACATCACCCAACCACATCACCCAGACACCGGTGAAGCTTGGGCACATTATCTCAACACGGTTCTCTCTTCTCAGATGTGCAATTGCAATAACTGTGAATGGTGTTAAACAGAAAAAACCTGGAAGGCTGCTCCAAGTGGGCGGTGCTCCTTGGGCTGTTGCTCTGCTCCCTGCCATGGCTGTGCCCACCTGGGGACCTGTGGTCCTGCTCGGTGCAGCCATGGCAAGAAAGAGGTTTTGTGGCTGCTGTGGCAGAGCACCTTCCCAGGGGGCTATGCTTCCCACAGACACACCACTTTATTTAGGGGAATCGAAACAAGAAAACGACAGAGCTCGCTGGTGGCTTGAAACCACAGTGGACTTATTTTCGCTTTACCCCTATTGCACAATCCTGTAATTGGCAGCAGCCCCATGGTGTGCTGTTCCTGCCATAACGGGCTGTGATTACACACCAGTAAGTCCCTCACACACCAGTAAAATCCTGCAGGGATGTGGGCCAGATCTGGAGCTGGAGTAAGCTCCCCTCTCAACAGTGGTGGGTCTCCCCACATTGCACCAGTGCACTCAGACACACGGCTCTGCCTGCAGCAACCCAGGAGCTGAGCACTTCTGCCTGCAGCAACCCAGGAGCTGAGCACTTTCGGGTACTCTGGCTCACAGGCAGATCTATTAACCCATTTTGTACACTAAAGTTTCATCTCTCCCTTTGTCCCCACACCCTTTCTCCCACGTCCTTTCCCCCCTCCCCTTCTTCCCCTTAAGGGCTGTTATTACCCTTAGTACTATTTTAAAATAAAACAAAGAGAATAAATTGATGCCTGTGACTTCACTATCCCATCAGCTGCCCTGATAGGAGAGAATCTCCTCTCCCATATATGCCCAAAAGAAGGGTCCACCTCTTTGTGTGACTGCAGGAATACAGAGAGAAGTTGCCTCTAAAGCTCATCTGCCTTCAGGGTGAGGAAGTGTTCCTGAGCAGCACAGGATCGAGGTTAATTTGGTTTTGGCTTCACTGGAGGAAGAGTCATTTAAATAATTTGTCCAAATATTTGATCTGTCTCCAAATTCACAAAGAAGACAAAGCTGCAGGTCATACCTGGCTCTGTCTAAACAAGCAAAATGAATGAGCAAAGTAACACAGGTGCCACCAGTGCAAAGGACCAGTGTATCCCCATGGCTTGACTTTGTGGCACCTTCTGTGCATTGGGGACTTCTGAGCACTGAGAGAAGAAGGGGCACGTGGGGTCTTGGTAAGGGCCCTGGCCCCATGTGCTGACATTTTAGAGGGGCTGCTGTGATTTGTGGAGCAGCCGTCAGGCTGTGGCTGTGAGATGCAGCGCTGAGCATCACGTGCTGCAGACACACACTTCTACCACGAGGGACGACACGTCACGCAGACATGCTCCTGAACTGTGTACCTGCCTTCCCATCATCTAAAACCCAACAAATATTTTTGGAAGAACTAATTTCTTATGTAACAGGAATGACGTGGCTGGGTTACTAACAGGGGTGTTCATGCAGCTGAAAAGAGACCCTGAACACATTAAGTCAAGCTGATACGCCTCTATGTCATTTAGGTTAAATACCAGATGAGAGGTGAAGGCAATACATTCTCAAAAACATCAGAAATTCCTCCGTGGCCAACCTAAGATGCCCTGACACCAGACAGAGTGCATTGCGTGATGCTGACAGTGCCCAGCTACCGTCTTGGGAGTGCCCTTGCAAAAGCCTCATCCAGCTGTATCCTTCTTTTAGACATCTCACCCTGAAAACTGCCCTGTGAGCTGGCACCACTGCCTCTTCCACATGCCAGTTATGCAGCTGCCTTCTGCCAGGTACAAACAGGGCTGAGGTTTTCTACACAGGGAGAGAAATCAGTCATATTTCAGATGTGCCATCATTTCTGGGAAATAGGCAGGGAAAAGGGTATCTGAACTGAGCTGGTGAATGATTCCCCTTCTAATGGACTTCAAAATCATCAGTATTTCTAGACACTTAAATTGAGAGGCTCCTGTCCCATAGAAAGGAGATTCTCGACATCCCCTTGAGGGTCTGTATTACACTGTGCCATCTTTTCCTTTGTGAAGCTGTGTTTTGATGGGAGAGGTAATAGTTTACTGTCTTTCAGCCACAAATGAGTCCTTTGTTATGTCTGACTCATCTGTGCTTTCTTTACCTCAAGCTATTTTCATTTTCCCCTAAAAACAGAAGTCCATCCCGTAAGTCAGTGCACCAAATATCAACTCTCCCGGACACAGGAGGCCAATGAGTGATCCATATATCACTGGCAACTCTCCCAACATTGTGCAAGAATCGCAAAGACACGAGGGTGACTTTGTTTCAGCTCTTGTTTCTTGCAAAAAGCACCATCTAAAATTATAGCAAGCACAGGCAAGTGTGCCCCGGCATGTGTCAGCCAGCACCATGCAGGGTAGAGCAGTGCTAGGGTGGCCCTTAGTTGCAAGTAGCACAGGAATTTGGGCCAGCTTGTTTCTCTGTTTAGTTTGAGGGCAAGGTCACCATCACCTTGAACAGAAAGAAGGTTTAGACAACTGGGATTGCTCAGCCTGGAGAAAAGAAGGCTCTGGGGAGACTTTATTGCAGCCTTTCAGCACTTGGAAGGGGCTTATAAGAAAGATATGCCTTTTGCAATAGAACAAAGGGTAATGGTTTTAAAACAGGTTTTAAACTGAAGGAGCGTTTAGTTTAGATTAGCTATAAGGAAGAAGTTTTTTACAACGACTGTGGTAAAACACTGCCACTGGTTGCCAAGAGAGGTGATCGAAGTCCCATCCCTGGAAACATCCAAGGTCAGGTCTGATGGGGCTCGGAGTAAACTGACCTAGTTGAGATCTTCCTGTCCTTGGAAGGGAGGTTGGACTAGCTGACTTTTAAAAGGTCCCTTCCAACTCAAACTATTCTATGATTCTGTGATAATAACAGACCACATCTCTTGCTTCTACTTGCCAAAGCACACTCTATCTCTCCACCTTTTTCCTCATCATGGTCACAACCCTGTCCAGCTCTCCTGGACCACCACCACAAGCACAGCCCACCCTCCCATCTCTCTTTCCCTAGCACAAGCCTACCCCACCTCTCTGCCTCTTCTTGCCGGATGATGCAAACCCTCCCACTCCACCTCCCCTGGCCACCCACGCCTCCATCCCCTCTTCACTAAGCACACTCCATCCCTCCATCCCGTCTCCCCAACGCACGCCCCATCCTCCCATCTCCTTCCGTCCGGCACACCGCATCCCGCCGGGCTTTTTGTGACCGGGAGCGGAGGCGTTCTCCCTGCCCGGTCCCGCTCCGCCCGGGCACGCCGCCTCCTGCCCGCCCGGCGCGGGGGGGCGGGATTCCCGCGCGTTTTCCACACGTCAGGACTCGGGGAAACCCCCGGCGAGCCGAGCTGTAAGCACCGCGCTCCGCCCCTGTGCCCACAGTCCGCTGCCGCCGTCGAGCCGTGAGGACCTGGGACGTAACTGCTCCGCACCGAGCCCAGCCGAGCCGAACTTGGGCGGTCAGTGTCCTGCCGATCCGAGCCCGGACAGTCCGTGCCGAGCCGAGCCTGAAGAGTCCGTGCCCCGCCGAGCCGAGCCTGGACGGTCCGAGCCCCACCGCCGCGATGCTGCCTGGCAAGACCCTGCGGAAAACTACGCCACCAGCCTCTCCTGCAGGTACCGGAGTGTGAAGTGAGAGGGTGGGGGGAACAGGATGGGACTGGACAGGACGGGGACACACGGTTCTGCTGCTCGCCCCACTCCAGCACCGGGAGCGGGGGCAGCGCCCGGAGCGACTGCGGTCTCTCTTGTGTGGAGGCGAGGGCGGTACAGCCACTGCTCTTAGTGTGTGTGTGGAGGGGGGGAGGGGGGGAAGGCGGAGAGATGTGTTTCATGTTGAGAAAAGAAGTAAAAAATTGAACAAACTTGTGGGGATTCCTTTAAAACGGAAACCACGCTTGGTGTCTGACGGCCGCGTGTGTCCGCAGGGCGGGAGGAGGCGGCGGCCGAGTGCGCCCAGGAGCTGCTCCGCATCGGCGACAGGTGGGACCTGCGGCAGAGGATCCTGAACCTGCTCAGCAAGCTGTTCTGCCCGGAGATTTGGGCTGCCCGCGGGCATGGCGCGCGAAACGGCAGGGGATGATGACCTTGGCTTTATGGTTTGGAACAAGAGGCTTCACAGACACTGGGAGATGAAGAAACCTCGGAAATCTCGTTGCGTTGTATTTAGCTGCCTGTAGCCGTCTGAGGATGGCTATCACATGATTTCTCTGAAGAATGTTACAGCAATATTTGCGTGTGAATGCCAGATGGGAAAAAAAATAGTGATGGGCAGAGCCCCTCACCTTGCAGTGGTGAACTGGGGGGAGATGGTGACGTGGGGAGACTTGGGACAAGACTGAACTTGCCTTTCACCATGGTCTGAGGAGCCTTCCAGGAACCTGGCTTCCCCAGTTGCCCTCTGGTCCTCATATCCCACAGCCATGTTTCACCGAGGAGCTTGGACCATCTTCAGGATGAAACCAAAAAAAGTGGCAGTGTCTTGGAACTTGGGATCATGAATTCCACAGCAAAAGCCAGTTGCTGGGTTTTTGACTGCTGTCCTTTTCTAAAGCCTGGATCCTGCTGGACAGGGATCTGGTGATAGGATTATATAATTCATTCAAGAAAACCACTATCTTTGTTGAATGTTTTTTTGTCGCAGGATTTTGCTTTGCAGACTAAGAGTTAAAGTTCTATGAATTAACACAATGTTGCATATTTCTAGCCTATATTATAAATATATAGTATGCATACATAAAATATAAATATCTGCACCACAAGTGTGTGAAACAGGTATTTCACGGAGCTATTCATTGAATGGTGTTTGGGCTCAAACACAGTTTGAAAAAATGTTCAATACATGGTATAAAACTCAGTATAAAAATACATTACATAAACTAAAAAGAAGTTTGACAATAAAGGAAATAAATCACATTAGCATCATATAAGATATATCTGAATATATATTACAAACATACAGGTATTGAGGTAATTGTGGTGGAAGAATTCTTTCAATATTACAAAGAATTTCTTGACAACAGTACAATTCTGCTGTGTCTTTATAAGTAATGAAATAACTTCAATAGAAGTAGATCTTAAAGTCTAATCTCAAGTTTTCTTGAGAATGTTATTTATTCAAAGAAAGTAACTACCTCTCTTTGAAGAAATAATATCAATATAATTGAATGTTATAGACAGCACAGTAACCTTAGATTTTTGAATGTTTAATTATATATACTTATAAGCAAAAGTTCTTCCTGTGTACTTTATTTCCATTTCATTTCATGGCAACCTCATTTCAGTTCCAGAATGGAACATCCAGTGGATAGTGATACACTGTGCCTATCTCACCGAGGTGTTATTACCCTTGGCTGGCTTCAGAGGAGCTGAATTAAACCTGCTGATCCCTGTCAAGGCAAATAGTAACTGTGCCAGTCCATTCTTGTCAAACTCAATCCTAAACAGTACTTTTTTCATGGGATTTCATGGCTGAAGTGATCCTGTTTCATAGCCACCTCTAAGGTCAATGGTCAGAGTTCCTTCCCTTAACTAACCTTGTATGTGAGTACATTTGCATGTTATTAGGCTGTATAATTGCACTTTCTGATATTTGTGTCTATTTGAAGTATTTTCCTGCCTTGTAGTGAATTTTTGTTTGTATTTATAATTTATTCTTTGGTTAGCTTTTCTGAATCTGCCTTTCCAAAACTGTCATTACATATCTCTGGTCACTCTCACAACAAACCATGTGTGCTATGTATTGACACTGATTTCTGTCACTGAGCAGAAGCTGACTGACTTTGACTACTTTCCACATGGAAAATTTAACCCCATCCCAGTGGTGTTACCGGGAGCCTTGCTGTTGGCTTGAGCCACGTGCATGGTTCCCTCCTCCTCTAAGCTAGCTAACACCTTTTGAGTGAGAACAGAATGTTTCAGGAATAGTTGTTATTTATCTTAGTACTGCAAAGAAGTGTGTTTTGTGTACACGTACCCAGGTCAGTTTTTCAGGTACTAAAAAGAAAATGCAAAGAGTTTCAGTTCAGCTGAACACCAGCTCCCAGGCTAGCACTGCACACAGCTTGGCAAACTGTTCATCGAAGGCAGCTCCAACTCCAAGAAGTATGGTTGCTGTTGTATGTCTTACACTGGTGGAGTCTTGGACTCTTCATTGAGGACACTAAACTATGACCATGCCTGCCTGGAACTCTCAGGAAAATTCAGCATTAGCATTTGTATTACTAGCTAAAATGTACTTGAATAAAAGTGTTCTCAATGTATGCTGCTTTGAAATTCAATAGGAAATGAGGTGTGGGTTTTATACAGCCAACCCACTCCTTCAGGCTCTAGCCTGAAAACTGTGAAATACTATGGAAAAAAGTATACTCATAAATGCATTGTCATGGGGATATCCAATTTAAGTATTGGCACATTATTTTTCTGTCTAGATATGTATGCAAAGACTATTTGCTTTTTTTGAAACTTTTTATATATTTCTGAGCATGGTTAAGACTGCTACCATTCACCAGGAACTCAAGAAGGAGACCTAGATTCAAGAGACCAGTGCCAGTATGTGAGCAAGCACTTGTTGATGTCTGTCCTAGGTTCTTTTTGTTACTTCTGCAAAGGATCTGCTTTATGACTTTTATCAATATGAGTTTGTTTTTCTTAAAGCCTATTCTGGATGCGGGCCAGATGTGTTGCTGTATGCCTCATGCACGTATGTCTTGAATCCATGCTAAGATAATAAATACGAAGTGTTTACGAGAAAAATGAGTCACTGTTGTTACAACTCCGGTTTTCTTTTGTGTGTTTTGAATGCATGATTGTATTATGCAAATTCCTTTCATACTTCCACGTCAGCAGGCACACACTGGGGCAAAAGCAGAGTGCCAGCAGGTATGCTTTAGGAAATTAGGCTTTGACTTCTGCCTTCAAGAGGAAAAAGGTGTACTCGTAACCTTGAACTTCAAAGAGACACCTATTCTAATATTTTCTAGTAACTACTGCCTGCAGAATAGTTGGGTGGTGTCAGGGAGTCCATTACTTCTACCAGAGGTGCTGCAGCTTTGAAAAAGAGTGTCCCTGAGGATCAGTGAAGGATAGACATCCAAGTTAAGGGTTTTGTCTCAGATCCGGGCAGAAAGGCATTTTGTCAAAGTCAGATTTTTACTTTCTCCAAAGTTTGAAGCTGGAGCTTTGGAAGAGGGGGAAATAATACTGCTTACCACAAAGGAATAGCAAAAGGATAGTGCAGAGAAAATTCTTCACTAAAGCTGGGACCCAAAGATGTGTCTGTGGACAGGAGAGCCTTAGATCCTCACCTGCTATGCCATGCACTGACTCACTGTGCTGCTGCCCCCCAGCTTCACAGGCAGAGAGCATCATGCCTGTGGCATGTATTCCCAGTGCTAGTAGGACTGAGAGCTTCCAGGCCAAAGGCTCTGTTTTCTAATAAGCAGGAAAAAAAAATAAAGAGGAGCAATTCCCTGTCCTCTCCCAGTTAGTCACCAGCAGAGGCCTGAAAATGCTTTACTTCAGGGGGCATCAGTGAGGTGGCCTTGAGAAGGACCACCTAGTAAAAAGTGCTACCATAGGTACTGCACAGAGGTCTGGTTTTGCAAAGCTTCACCAGCAAATTAGACTTATACGACTCATTAGACTTGTGAAAATATCCAGACACCTTCACCTGCTGCCTGCTAGAGCCTGGGCCCTCTCCAGCAAAGTCACCTCCAGAGCACTGTTCCTCCCTAAAAGGCGGGGGGGGGAAAATCCTATCACTGGGGCATGACATTGCCTTCTAAATGCACTTGACTCACCCATAAGCACCTGATATCAAAAACCCAAAACAAACCCACCTGTCCAAGCAAACTGACAGAACTGCCACCCTGTAATGCTCTTCATTAACTGGGCACAGCGCCTGCCCAGGTAACAAGTGCAGCCCCACACTTGCACTGTGCTTCCCTGGGTGAAAACCATCCCGGTGCCCTTGGCCAGCTCATGCCTTCACACCTGAGACTGAATGCACAAGTGGTATTTCCTAAACAAATTGCTAGACAAGGAGACACCTCCTTCTTCCCCTCATGGGATGCTTTTATAAATCAACTGAAAAACAATGTCTCATGTGCTGCTCGTTATTTTTAGCACATGCTGTTGGATGGGACTATATTTTATCACTTTCCTCCCATTGACACGAGAGGGTGTGCATCCATAGAGGCGTAAGGAGGCTGGACAGGAAGGGCTGGGGATGTGAGGTGCTGACATTCAGTCTGGCAGGGTTTTCCACGAAGCAGGTGACTGTCTGATGCTGGGGCTGTCAGTGAGCAATAGTTTCAAAAGCTGTTACAGCTGTAAACAAGGGTCCTCACCCAAGTGCGTCAGGACATTGTCTGGCCCGTGTAAGAAACGGGCCACACCAAGGCTGCCCTGCCTTCTCACGCATGGTCTCTTTGCAATGCAATTCTCACCACTTCGCAAACCCTCTCAAAGTGTGAAGGCTGGTGTCACTCCTTTAGCAACAGGAGATATCCCATGAGATGGCAGGAACCACAAATAAAACTGCTTCAGCCACTTAATCTTACAGGGGCTTTGGTGTCACTCTCTCGTGCCCACGAAAGGATGGTAGGAGCACCACTACGCTCGGTTCCTCTGTGCCACTGTCACTGCTTGAAGGGACAAGTCACTTTCTGGAGTGGGCAGGCCAGCTTTCAAATCTCGAGAAAACCAGTTACTTTCAGCAGCACTGAATAAGGCCAATAATAGGATGCCAACACCTTCTCCCTCAGCTCCTGGGTCCTAGCTGGGATCACAGTTCCCTACTATCTGGGGGCAACTAAGGGCAGAATTCTGCTAGCACCTTCCGCTTCATGCTCCTGAGTGGGATGTGACAAAAGCTGTGACAAAGGCAGGAGGTCACATCCATGTCCACCCGGCCCCAGATCAGTAATTAGAGAGGCAATTTTCAACAAAAGCAGCTGGACTTTCCCCAGCACCACCATGGTGTTGATAGCAAATGGCTTTGATAGGTAGGGGAAAACGCAAGGAACTACAGCATCAGGTAACTTGTTTGCTCAGTGCAATAGTATCAGACTGATTCAGCTG